GTGGGGGGCCGACTCATGGCTGGAGCCTCTGCTGGACATCAGAGGAACTGCAGGTTTTTGCATTTACAGTAAGCCTGTAGGCTATTTCTAGGTTATTTTTTCTATTTTTTTCATTTTATACTACTTTAAATAAAATTATTTACCACGGTATTATACTAAGATGTTCTTACATACTGCAGAGATGAAGAAGAAGCTCCTTTTGGCTGCTCCAGAGTGTTTAAGCTGGATTCCTTTCCTGAGGCAATCGAAATCAAAGTTACTTATATTGGGTTTAATTTGTTTTTGTTCATGTTCATACTTGCTTGGATTGGAGTGGAGCTGTTTATTCACAGCAATAAATAAATCACAAGATTCCAATACATTTGTATATTAGGTTTTGGCTTTAAAAAAAAAAACAGGTAACAACTCTGCAAACCACAGAAGAAAACAAGGAGATCGTCTTTGATGCCCCCAGTGGACACAGCAGGTTGCAGGCAGGTCACCACATCCCAGATTATTTAATTTGGCGTCCTCGCCTCAGTTTGAAGGTGAGTAATGCAGACTTCTGGAAAGTCCTTCAGCGTGGTATTTTTGAATTCTGACAAGTTGCATTTTAATCCTGTTGCACCAGGTTTGGCACCTGCAGTCAGCGCCGGGAGTTTGTGTGCAGCGCCACCGGTCAATCATATTACTCACAACTATTACGTGCAGCACCAATTTCCAACCAGAGCTACTTGCAGCCCAGATGGAACATGGAAAGATTAGCTCAGCTAATCTGAACAAATGCTCATTACGGTTTGAACAAATTAAAATCTAAATAGTGGCCCAAGAAAATTTAGGTGAGCAGGAACTTTAAATGCTGATTTCCAGCTCCAGATTTTTCGACTGCATAAGTTTTGCATGACTCGTGGTTGAAAACAAAAAAAATATTCACTCCGTTCTCTGTCTTCAGCAAGCTTTTAGTTATTCTCTCTGTAAGCCAGCTCTGTTCTTATTGGCTGCCACCCACAAACAGAAGGTTTGAGCAGTGGATGGGCGGGGCTTGAGTGCTTAAGATGACTGAGGGCTCTCACTCTCAATGATACTATACAGACTCAACAGTTTAAAAATGGTGGATGGATACATCTGGAGCAGTGTTGATTTGAAGAGTCCTCATTCTGCAGACAGCCGGACAGGTGAGGAGTGAGACTGGGAGGCTACTGGTCGTTATTTCCAACATTCATCAGGTTGTGAAGTCCTCAGAGTCCCACCATGACATCCTGAGGCATCAGAAGGAGTGCGTTCAGGCCTGAGCTGTGGTACATGTTAGACATGCTGGAGATCCAGCAGCCAGCGCAGACGCACAGATAACAGCTCAGAGGTGCACGAGTAGATGATGTAAGTAGAGTTAAATCAAGGGTTCGGGTTTGTATTTTACACTTTTCATCTGTACTTTGGGATCACTCCTCCCGAGCAGTCGTTCAAGCATTTAATCTTCTGAGTTTTTGCTACTTTCTGCAATTAAGAACCAAACTGTAGACAACAAACCAGAAAGTTAAACCAATTGAAGCAAACACCTCATGTTTCATGCTTTTTCTCCCTGCACATGCTAAGCCTGAGGTTAGCTTCAGCCAGGAGGTATAATCAGTGCACAGCGTGTTGGTGTGTATCCCTCTCCGATTGGTGGAGACAGGAAGAAAATCATCAGGTTGGTTAAAGCAGTGAGAGAGGTTCAGTGCACAGACCCCTGTGGAGGACCCCCATCTGACTACATTTATAAACTTTGTCTGAGTGTACTTTCATACTTTTCCAGATCCCATTACTGTACAGCAGCGTGTGCTTCAGCCATTTTTATTAAGAAGTTAATTGCCTCTGAATCTAATCTAGAGCTGCAATCATCTGTTGCAGGTCAATTTAATGGCTCCTGTGTTTTAGTGATAAAAAGCTTCTTAATGGG